CAAATTAATTTTCCATACATCAGTTTATACGCATTGTTTCATGACATTGACTGCAATCCCCATAATGTAATAGCTCTCTTCCCACTTCCTCTCTATAGTTACCTCTTCCCTGTGTCCTTCTTTTTATGCATTCCTGCCCCCTGAGCTATCTCCTTGTGCAAACACTGCCCTTCTGATCTCCCATGATTGATTGTGCTAAGGAGTATATCTACCTGGCATAAACATTCATCCTATATGCCTGTACATTGTTTTGCTGGAAGCTATGGGAGTGAGTTCAATTCCAGACCCGAAGGGTAAGTAGGGGCCATAGTCTTGGAGGGTTCACTAGTGTCTATCAGACCAGTAAGCCTGGTCTTTCTTTCTTTTTTTTAAATGATTTTGAGTTTTACTCCACATTGTTCTGCCACTCTATCCAGGACCGCCTGCACTAATCCCTTCTGTTGAATAAAATTTGTTTTAATGGAATGGAATTACATATTTATTGCTCAAAAAAAAAAAAAAAAAATTGATTGGCAAATTGCATCAGGCTACTTGCTATTTCACTAAGATACAACATACCATTTCCATGCCAGAGGCTGGGTGGTCTTAAGAATACAAGACTGGAATTCCAAGAATTGTAGCTATTACATTGTACATAGATGTCATCATGGAATGTAAAATTAAAAAATGAATAAAATTTGCTGTTAACCAGAAAACATGCAAGCGTACAAAAATATCCTTAAATCAAAGTACCATGCAATCAAAAGAAATCAGTGTTGTCATAAATGCCTCTAGATCAATGTTTCTCAAACTTTAATTCATAACCATAATAAACTAATATGATATGGAACACCTGGGGACCTTGTTAAAATTTTAGATTCTAATTCAATAGGTGGGGCTTGAGATTCTGTATTAATGAACCTCTGGATGATGATGATGGTCCATGGCTATTTTGAACAGCAAGATCCTATATGATATTAAAACCACAGATTTCAAAGCTAATACATTTTCTTTTGCAAGAAAAGTGTGCAGGTAAGCCCTGGAATCTAAAAGCAATAATCAATTATGATCAAACTGCACCTTCATGGTTAACTTCATATTTGCTGCATAGAGGTTTTAGGGGTGTCAGATGCTTAGCAGGTGCTCAATTAAAGGGAATAAAGGAAATCAGCACAAAGTTAGTAGAGGCCCACAATGTTAAAACATTGTAGCCTAAAAATACCTCACTTCTGAAGTTTAAATTATGTAAAACTGAAGTGTTCATGATGTTAATTCTAATCAAGTTATTCTTCTGCTTAAGTCTTCAATGAATTCCTCATCTTAGAATGTATCTTAGAATAGATGTCTTGGAATGTCTATTAATCTTGGGTCATTCCTCCACTGGTATGCTGTTTCAGACAAACCAATCTGTGTCACAATGTCCAGCTGGGGAGATACAAAGGAATATGTTTAGTTTGAAAAAGCATATTCACTACTAATGTTAAGAAAACGTTTTACAAATACATGACAGAAAAAGCCATATCCCAAGTTTTCTTGGTTGTGAGGGTCCATTAAGATTCATTTTTTGTTGTTGCAGGCATTATTTTTGTTTATTCAATTTTTATTGTGATTTGGTGAAAGTTTACAAAGCAAATTCACTTTCCATACAGTAGCTCACATGCACTTTGTCTCATGACATTGACTGCAATTTCCTAAAATGAACAGCTCCCCTCCGACTTCCTCCCCGTAGTTACCTCTTCCCTGTGTCCTTCCCTCCCATGCACTCCTGCCCC